GCGGCCCATTTTTTTCAGCGAGTGGCACTGCGCTGACTGCAAGGGTCGAGAAGACCATTGCACTGCTCGGATGTCGTTCGCTATTCGGTTTCGTTGGGTCGAGGCGCGGACGGTCGAGCGTTCCGTTTATCCGCTAACTTGCTTTCATTGTCATCATCCTTGCCATTGCGACGAGCTGCGCTGCTAGCGCAACCTGAGATTTTTGAAAGTGTCCCTTGAGGCGGCCTTGTTTCGCTTCATGCTTCGTGGACCGCGCTCACAGATGAGGCTTGGGAATTGGCTGTGGAGCTAAAGCAAAGCAAGTATTATGGCCCATTGGTGGGTCCTGCATTTCCCCCTTTGTTGGGAACGCGGTAGCTTTTATAGGCTCTGCGTTGGCAGATCAACAGCGGCAGCAGCAGGAATCTTTCAAGCGTTTCTCATCGATTCTTGTTCAGTAAGTAGGTATTTTTCTTTTACAAGTCAACGGAATAGAGTTCTGCGGGAATTTCGTGCGGCAAATTCACTGCGTGCCACCCTTTTTCTAGCAAGGAGCATATAGATGGGTGAACCACGATACCTTGCGGGAATTCGGCGGCTTAGATCGAGTCAGGCAATTCTCGAGGAAAACTTTGAGAAGAAAGAAGGAAAACGAATGGGTTAAGGAAAAGTCGGAAATGGGAAGCTCAGTAAAGTTCACGTTTTTCTGAGACGAAGAGTGTCAGTTGCTGGGATTTTAGTGGCTACCGAATGGGCAGGTAGTCCGTCACATTGATTGGGCTTAAAACGACAGCCAAAACTACTATATGAATTGAGATAGGCGTAAGAAAGCTCTCTTTGATGAAATGGCCTTTGTTCTTATATCCGAACTCGTAAACGCATGACGTGTTCCTTGCTTGCCGTTTCAATCATTTTTTACGTAAAGCGTTTCTGCTCGGTCGTTCTCACAGTCTCATATGGCCGCCGTTCACCAGGAGGGTGCTCTCAGATAAGGTTGCGTATTGATTCGATTTGCTGCATTAAAACAACAGTAATTATATGTAAATGAAACGAAAGACTGGGTAGACCGAGTGCGAATCGAGATCGAAAAGAGAGATAAGTTGAAGGAGAGCTACTGGAAAATTTACAGCGCAAGGAAATACACTCCATCAGGCAACGTTGCCTCTAATAGTAAGTCGATTGTTTTTGGCGGCGAGCAGCCATGGCTTGTGTGCACTGCCAGAGGAAGCGGTTCAGACAAAAGTTCTATTCAAAAGAGAGTAACACCTAACCTCGTTGCATACATACACAATGAACATGCATCGCAAATGTCCTTTGCAGTGTTTGCATTTGAACGACGTAGCCGTAAGTAGAAGTACGCAAAAGACAAAAAAGTGACCTGGAATGTGTTTTCTGCTAATCTGTTTGTCTCGTCTGAGAGATGAGTAGTGCTAGTTCCGATTATAAATTTTAACAGTCGTGCTTATTCTCATCAGAGTTACCGAGTTTTTATAATTAAGTGCCGTTAATGTGGAGGCTAACATCTAGCGCCATCTAGCGACCGTGCGCATACACGAAGTTCGTTTTTTTCAAGAAAATGTTTTTGTTTGTCAACGACATCGTTTAGTGCATTTGGTAGTCTGCTATTGTGTGCAACACCGTTCCAGTAGTCGCGGAGGTTTGGCGTGGCCAGCCGCCCGTTGTCGGCCTGCAATCCTGAGAATGCAATCCTGAGAAGTCATTTTTCTCTCTGCCTCTCGCTTTGGTGGCGAACACTTGTTCCAAGAGGTCTGTTGAGCCAGGAGTAAGGTTGAGGCGTGAAGAGGAACCTTTGTCAGGCTTGTTGTTTATATGGCTGTTACCTACCTTTCAAGTGGAAGAGCCTTTGAGAAACGGCGGAAAACGTGCGCAACGAAGAAATAAAGCGCACAAGACACACAGTTATGCATGAAACGGCCGCCGACGCAATTTAAGAAGTAGCAATTATAATAATTTGTTTACGAAAAGAATGTTGCTGTTGCTGAGTTTAAGTATGGTGATAATGTTTTCGAAGGTATCTTAATGCGAAGAACATCTGCAGTCTATAATATCAGAAGCTGAACTATCTCTTTTGGTACCTAGACGACCCATAAGAGGTCACAAGTAATAACCAAAACTTGAATGTTTAGATTTTCGGGGTGAGTTTTGTCTGCCTGACAAATTCAGCTTCTCGATAATCAACTTAATTTCTACGCAACGCTCAACTTGGAGGAAATGTGTCGTACTTATATTAGAGATGCACAAAACTTTCTTTCGAACTTTGGGAAGGTTAAACAGCGCCAACAAATAAAGATATCATAAAAACTACAAGAAATTTCTGTGTATTTAATGTGGCAAGATATACTGTCAGAGTTATATTACAGACTTCGCAAGACGAAGCTGTGAATTTTATCTGTGCTGAACGTCTGTGTGTAAAGCCATGTATATATACAAGCACTCGTATACATTTCCCTGAAGAAAATGTATACGAGTGATTTCACCCGTAAAGAATGAATAATCACAGGCCGTAAGTTCATAGAAATTTTGGGTTAGACACGAAGCTTTTGGGTCACAGTTTTGTGGTACGCAATCAAAAAGTCTTCTTGCATTAGGGAAAAAGCGTTATCAAAATTCTTATTAATATATCGATCATAGAGAGACCTTATAAAGATATGGCTATTTATCACGTAAGGCACTGAGGTTCACTTCGGGTATCGCAGTTAGTAGATTGAAATTTTTAAGACTGGGTTACTTCAAAGATTTTGCTAGAAGCTCTTAAAGTGAGCCAAAATAGCGCGTTCAATTTGGGTGTAATCAATAAGCATGCACGTTCTGCATTGATAGTATAATTGTATAAGGTTCTATCTTCCTTTGTTGCACTTAAATGTAATTATAGAGTTTTGTTTTAAAAAAAAGTTCACGTTTTTCACGTGTTTTTCTTGAGTTATAGTGAAACGCCTGTAGCTTTTCGGCTTCAGCAACGCAGGGAAGGGACCAAGCGCGTAGATTATTGGCGTCCCCATACTTAGGGGCTGCCATTGTTCTATCCGGCGCGTCAAAGGCCGAACGTATGATCCAGTGTGATGCCGAATATACAGATAAGATGTAGACTGAGTGTGGTTATCTATATATATATATGGATAATCTACGTGCATGCGGCTCGTTCATGCAGCATCTTTGCGTGTACTCGGTAGATAGTTTTGGCTCAGCCAGTGACTAGATGATCATCGATATGACCCTATATAACTAAGCCCTTTTATTTACAGCAATCGACAGGTCGATCTAGGACAAGTCATAAACAACCGGCCTTGACGCAGTCCATGGCGAAGCATTCTATGATGATAGAGTAAGTTGTGCCAAATCTCTATATCGAGACTAGTAATCCATCGTTGTTATGGCTCTCTAACAAGTTGGCGCAAGAGAGTACCGACTTTATGAGTAATAGAAGGCATAGTATCCCGCAAATAGCTTCATAATTTACTTGAAATATCAAACGGCTGTAGATTCTCTGCTGGTGAGTGAACAAAAGCAGTTCAGGTTTCCGATGTTGCCTATAGTCTAAAACGTCCCCCCATAATTAAAGATAGGCAACATTCTCATTATAGCGATGTGGTTCAAGTCTTACAGCCACACATAGAATGCTCAAAGCCCCTACCAAAAACATTTGGTCTGACCACTGAGCACGAATTCGGCTACGTTGAAGAACTGTGGGCAATTAGTCAGGTTTTGACTACTTGTATGTACGAGACATCTGAATACGACGCGTGGTAATTAACATTATTTGTCGATAGCAGTGTCGTATTCGAGTGACACGGTATCATCATATATATATGCAACTGAATTAAGCCGTGATCTAATATAAATATAAAGCCTTAAGAAAAACCTTTAGTTATATTCGATAGGCATTCTCCCTGTTTTGTCGTTGTTTCATACAAGTGTTTCGGTAAAACACGCGCAGGCAACAAGAAGATAAGCTTCTTCGGGGCTAGCAAAACGAGTGTGTTTCACTAGATGTCAAGCTCACTAGGATACAGCTCATTAAGGATTGTTTATAAGGGACGGGTTGCTCCTGAATTGCTAAACATCCTAACGTTTCCTGCTCAACCGAATAAGTTACCCCCGCAAACATTAAATTACCTTTTACTCAGTAATTTAAGTAGTTTGTAGTGGCGAAATTCGAACGTCAGACGCCTAGTGAACATCGAAATCAAAGCAGAGCTGCGTCACCAATGCCCCTACCTCACCTGCTTGATTTCTCATGTCAGACTCAACTATTGTAGTGGTATAATTTTGAGCCGAATAGATTCCCAATTGTAGGCAGACGCAAAGTAAAGCATCGCTAACTAACTTCGGAGAAGCTATAGATCAAAGTTCGAATTGAACAAATTTCTGAGGATTTAGTTGCCTCTACATCAGTCCGTCTACTTTAGTCTATCAGTACCATTCCAAACCTGTACACGCACGTGTATACCTAACCGCGAAAATGTATCGTCACTCTTAAAAAGGCGTACACACGTTCTAGAGGTCGATGCTTACGTCGTCTGGGTACGCCGTAATTTTCACATGAACGACAAACGAGCTGAGACTGGTTTTATTTTCGGTTCTGCTAATCTACTTTTTCAGCAACGTAGATTTATAGCCAATTTGTCGTTTGCTCTGGAGAAGAACCTGGAACAAGTTCTAAAGGAAGTAGCGTTTATAACAAATTCAAACATAATCATTTCTTCGAATATGTGAGTGACATGTAAACAGAATCAAGATCGATTCGTATGGCTTGGAGGTTACTTTAGCGTAGATATGTTTATGTGAGACCGGGAGTGTTAGGCTTTCAAGCGCAATTGTAGATCATGAGACATATTCCCCTACCCTTATTAATGAAGGCGGCTTAGTTTAAATTATCGGTTTATTACAATTCTGTCTCGTTGCAAACCCTACACTATCTATCTTTCTACCATTTAACTAGTCTTCATTTTCGATCGGTATTTTAAATGTAAAAATATGTAAAAAAAAAAAAAAAAAAAGTATGTTATTGTTTCGTCCACGCTCAAATGCTCCGATCGAATGTTCCGTTCATCCCGTTATTGTTATCTTGTTGTCTCGCCAGAACAACTACTGACAACGTCTAATAGGCAAAGAGTTACGATCTTCACGCTAGATGTTTCCCTTTAGCGAAAATGAAGTACTAGTTTTTTTGGTGGATCCCCTTAGATCGGGACATCGCGAAACAGGTCAGCATGGTTCCTCACGAAATCTCCCCGTTGCTAATTATTGTTACGCCTATGATGAATAAGCTAATCTGCCAATGACAGTGCCTCGTACATTGACTGGTTTTTATCGCTGCGAAAACCTTCTGTGCACAGAAAAGAATTCTAACTATATATATATGCTAGAGCAATAAAGGATTATAGCAAAATTACAACACGAACACATAGTGTTACCATATAGATACATAAAGTAATATAGCCTAAGTCCTACCTTTTGCATTTTTAAATGATCTTTCTATACTATTATCACAGGGCCCCCATTATTCAGGCGATCCGGTTAATTATCTCCAATTAGCACCCAACGCTGTGTAATGCGGGGTATCCTTTTTGCCTCGATCCTGCCATCCGCGAATAACCCTGTGCTCAGGTTAATCTGAAAAAGGGAATAAGCTATTGATTGAGTGGAGGTAACCCTAAATGGGACGTCGCTACCGTTCAAAAAGATCGTAACAAAAGCATGAGAAGTACCCGACCATCAATAATAAAAAATACCAGGTTGAGCTAATTCGATAGGAATGATTATACTTAAACAATATTATACTTAAACAAAAAAAAGAACTATTAATGTTGTGATGGAATTACAATAATAGAATTTAACATCTATAAGACTTAAAATTTTCTCTATTTTGAAAAGAAATAGTTTTATAGTTTAACTTGAAATTTTTATTCTAGATTTAATTTGAGCCTTCTCGTCATAAGCAAAGAAGGCCATGTGGTTTCATACGGTGCCATTAAATCGGCGTTCAGAATCGTTGATGCTGAAGTAGATTCTTCAGATGCCTTGCGACGCAAGAAAGGCTGTCACAGACTAAGTTGAAACCATTCATTGCTACTGGCAGGTTCGAAGTTTAGCGTTGAAGAAAGCGGGGCATTTCCTGTAACTCTTTGGGATTTTTCATGGGACTGATGCATGGCCATTCTCAGAGTTTTGTGACAGACTTAATGAGTTTGTAAGCCCACATGTGATCGTGCAGGACCGCAGGAACACTTCAGTTTAACGGTGTTATCGCGTTTCTTGATTAGTGGTGTGCTGCTAGCGTTAATTGCTACAAAAGTAACCCCAAGTGAAACTGGCCAAGGATAACTGAAGACGCTGAAGTGAATACTAACGCAATATACAATTGGTTGCGTTTGTGATTTAAGTAATTCTGCGTAAAATGGGCCGAGTTATTGTTTCACTTTTGGACTGGTAAGCTGGGTCATGGCCGCGAGTGACAAAATGTACAGATGCTTTTTACGGAAATTTGTGTTCACATAAATTGTGTTAAATAGGGAGGCCTGGATCACTGATCTTGAACTCTTTTGTTAGAAGCTTAAAAAATTGCTTTTATTCACACTTATTATTCAATTGCGCAGAGCTTATGTGGCGCAATGTTTATGCAATTTATCACATAATTGCAAAAAAAACTTTTGCCAACTTAGTCTAACAAAAATCCGTGTTTGCCTTCATGACGATGTAAGGTGAGATCGTAATTTCCAAAGAGATTGTTTCTTTACGAAATACACAATTGAGGACTGAGTTAAAAGTGTACTCGGCACTATTTAACTTTTTGTATACCATTGCCATAATTTTGGGAGCGTTGTCGTGGTAGCGGACGTAAACAGGAATGTAATTGCTTTCCTACACATTTGTACGGATGGATGCCTACAGTTATATCTAAGCCAAAAGACGGAAAGCTATTATCGCATAACATTTTTCTTCTTGTAAATGAAAAAGTTTAGGGCACTACTGGCCTCATGCGAAAGAAAGTAGGATGCAACACTGGATACTTGAGATACTAAAAGGTCCCACAAAGGCCGAGGCGGACAGTGTATGAATGCGTGGTTTATGCTGCACACACGGCCTGTCCGCTGCAACCGACGAAAAATGTCCGAATTATGCCGCTTTTCTGTAGAAAAGCGAGCGTTAAAGGAAATTGAAACGGAGCAAATAAGAGGCAGCAGGAAGAAGGAACAAAGTATCCTTTTTATTAGGAAGTGACTCGTAGATTAGGACGCTAACTGGAACGGTGGCCTGTTTGAAGTACATCGATTCATTCTCGATCCTTTATGATTTGTGTACTTCATTGTGGTCACGGTGTATTGTTTTTCATCTGCATGAGGAGCATCCTGTTATCTACCGGATATGTTAACGAGAAAAGGCGTGCAGTTAGACTTAAGGCATGAGTACTTAACTGTTACTCATATTTGTAGTACAGCTATAGAGCAAAGTGATCTCAGGGTAAAACCTGTAGACCGCGTGTACCATACCAGATTCCTTTCATCTGCGACTAACGAGGGTTTCGCTTCCCAAACGGTAAACAGGCTTAATCTCACTTGAGGATGAATTATTAACACGATTTTAACAGACGTTTAACGCCTATATAGGTATGTTGTTAAATAGCAGACCACAATAAAAAAAAAAATAGAACGCTTGTAAATACTTAAAAATTGTTAGATTTGCTTATAAGGTAGGTATTTTCCTTAAATGTGTATCATACAGACACATTAGGTCTTTCGGTCGAATTTAACCAAACTTTTGTATTCAGTAAGCGAGTGATCCGTTTCCAACCAGCTCCTAGGCGTACGGTCATCCGGGTTTGCCATGGGAATTAATGAGCATTTAAACTTTATTCCTGCTAAGTACATCCTGACTAAAGCAGAGTTATACATGTCACTCGAGTACATCCTGTACGTGATGGAGTAGGGAGGCTTACCAATGACCATCGCTAGCCAGATTACGTCATCGGCAGTAGTCCCCTGGCAGGGAATTTGCCACTTTCCCCTATTACAAATGGTTGGTGACCGCAGATCTTTTACCATCCCCATCTTCAGCTCGTGGCAGAGGTGGTCGCTTGCTTGATGGATGCGCAACTACTTGATGTGATTGCTGGCTCTCGCAGAATCTTCCAAGTTGAACAGCCCTCTTCAAGTGGGGTCCGTAGGGTATCCGCGTGAATTTGTAACACCACATCTATAAACAAGGGAGTGAAAATATCTGAAGTTACCAAACAGGATGGTGACGCTGTCGGATCTGTGCGATCAGCCACCCCCGTCGACTGTCGCTCTAGGTCCTGTATTTACAAAGTTGTCTGCACATGAGTAGTACAGGATCAGATTACTATCAAAGCATTATGTTATGTAGGGCGTGGAACCCCGACCGTAAGAAATGCTTTGTCTGTATACAGTGGAAACGTGCGAGTGATATTGCTGAACCAGATGCTTTGTTGCACGTGGTAGACGTTTGCTGGCCCCGTAGGTTAACTAACTGACCAGATTATCCTAGAGATACATAGACGCTAAGAGGCGCTTGCAGAGAATCACAGATGAATGCCAAAACGAGCATTTAGCCGTCATTCAGAGAACTCCCGCGTAAAGACAATATCCAAAGGGAAAACTAGAAAATATAGAAGTTAAGCTGAAGAGACAAGCACCTCTACAAGGATGCGTTTAGGGTTTGCGTTTGGCCGGAAATGTGATGCTAATGGAGCATTGTATGCCGACAGCTGGTTTTGGCAAAGTATGGCGAAAGCTTAAATCCTCGTGCGGTTCCAACACTTCAGTGAAGTGCGGGTGCACTTATTTAATCATTTGTTGCTACATGACCATTACGAGTTTGTACATCGCGCAGTCAAAGTGGCGCTGAGAGCAGCGAAGTGAAAGGAATTTTTAGCGATGGCAGGCCTCCTTAGGCCAGAAGGAATATGGTAGGCCGCCTCGTTTGTCAACCGGCGCTCGGCGGATGACAGAACGATGTGCCTAAGAAGAACTGGCTAGTTGTACGTGGCAAGATGTAATATGCAAACAAGAAGGTAGAAAGAAATTCGTTGAAATACAATATGTCGTAATAACTGGCCAGAAATCATAGCCCAGAAGGCGTCTGTCTAATGAGTTTTTATAGATTATAGAGAATGGCCGACCTTCGTAGACCTCATACACCTCGAGAAGAAGTCGAATTTGCCTACATGAGGCGTAGTCGAATTCATAAACGAATATGGTTTTCGGTAAAAAATTTAAAACCGTTTTCAGAAGCAAAAGGATCTACATCGTTTTATTTGCCGTAATCATAATTGCCTATGGTAATGACAAAAACAATTGTTACTGTTTCTAAGAAGCTTGTATATCACTATTCCCGTTCTGAGGGGGCAACGTAGTTTCTATCAAAATGTTATGATATTAATACATTGTTGTGGGATTCAAAAAATAGTTAAGTGAACTCTCGCCTATTGCTTTTCAGAACTTCTAAGATTGTATGGCAGCTTGCTGCGTTATATATACTTGGGTACTTACATTCACACCTACACATACACAATGATCGCCATTTGTGGTACTGACTAATTTCTTGCTAAGAAGAAACTGTTTCCATTGGTTGAGTCACTAACAAAATATTTTTCGTAATACCGTTGCCAATTGTTACTGTCCCGTCCTGTCAAGGGAACACTGCGAAAATCATATAAAAAGCCGGTTATACGTGAGAGGCGATATATCAAAGGCGGTAGGAGACAGGAAGCACGGTAAGTCGCCTAAGAAGGACGGCCAGCAAAATGTCGAAGGTTGGCTTCAGTGCTAAAGGAAAAAGGGTTGTTTTACGGGCATACGGAACAGGATAGGACGAAATAGGAAACTGTGTGACAATCTATTCCAGCCACACGGGATTACTGGCTACTTCTCTTGCTAGATCCAAGCGGCTACGCTACTATGCAAAAGCACAACAGCGCTAAGCCCGTATCACCGCAGCGACTATTTATTCGCTCACGCCAGGCAATGCCCACGGAGCGGACGAGTCTTTCCAACGCCGTTGTCACTCAGTGTTTCGAGAGGGGCAACGTGCTTTGCCAGGAGGGTGCACCGAAATGTTGCCAGGGCTATTTTTGTCCCAAGTAGCAACTCTGGTTAAGCAAAAACGCTCTTGATGCCAACAGCAATGCTTACAATCTTGTTGGCAACAAGTCTTCGGAACGTTTGTACAGCAAAATCCTTCTGCTGGTCACATAGGGTACCCGATTCCTGCTGTCGTCACCGCCATTTCCATATGTCATTGTGGTCTTTCCTTCGGTCATCGTTGTAATCAGGTCCTGCTTTGTCTGCTACGTTCCTTTGGTATCGTTTTCTTGCCGGGTACAGGCTAAGCTGTCGCATTGCCGATCATCTCAGCGTCGGCAGTGATTGTGGGTCGTTCGTAGTCGCAGCTTCACATTATTGCTTTCCACCAGCGACAGCATCCAGTGCAAACCATCGACCGAGCACAGATGATGGCCCAAACTCCATCACGTCCATTATCTGCTTTGCGCATGTACGTGTCAAAGACAGGTTTGTCACCAAACTAGCCCTCCTCTTGGTAAACATGTAGGAAACAAGCAGCCCGTTCGGCCAACAAGCGTACCACGCCCGTTATTCCACACACAGTACGTGGAGCAGGGGTGAATTAGAACGGAGACAATTAGAAGATCCAACGTTCACTTGGTGTCGTATGCGGCTGACAGTATCATGGGACAGCTATACTTTGCTTTTGCTTTGACGAGTTCAATTGGGAGTGGTTGCCGTGAGGAGAACGGAGCTATAAAGGGTCAATAGTATTGCGGAACACTCTTGTAGTGGAAGAGAAGGACGTGTGTTATCTATCGCTGTCATAGTGACGGGAAATGATGGCACATGGCCTGGCCATATCTAATTTCGCACTGTTGGTTGGCCAGCTCAGTAGGAGTCAACGGCCAGGATTTTATTTAAAGATTTGTGTGTAGCCAACGCCAATGGGCTGATGCCCAGTGTAGTTTACCTATGTACAAAAACTGTAGAGATTTCGAGCTGTCAAAAGTTGGTGGCCACCAAGACGGAATTGAATAGAAGGCACAGCAGTGAATGTTTGAATTTCGTCTCAGCTTGAAGCATAGCGGCAAAACGTGTTTGAGGCAAAAAGGCAAGAGGCATGAAGTGGGGTCTCTGACATGCGGGGGCGCTAGCGAGAACGTAAAGGCTGAAAAGGAAGCTCAGATTTGTTCTGCCTCAACTGCTTGCCGCTGTGCGCATTTTTACATGGCACGACAAAAAACAACCATTGCGAGTACTCGATAAGGGGCCCATTTGAGGTTTGCGGTTTTCCTCCGGGCTTCCGAGAAACATTTGGACGCCGCGCTGGTGAACTTAAGGTTGGCAACGGTGCCTCTGAGAGCGTTTGGAAGCTTTTTACGACGTGCCACCATTGTTCGCTATCAGCGCAAAGCACAACAGGGTTAGCTAAGGTGTGGTTGGTATAGAAGATTCCCGGGGTTCGAGCAAACCGAGAGCGAAGTTATTAAGGGCCCCTTGCGTCCGAGGGATCCATTTGCAGTGGGGTTCCATTGGCTGGCGTTAGCTGGGACCTGTCATCGTGGCGGTCAAATAGGCCGCCGGCAGTGGGGTCCTTAGGCAGTTAAATAGCATGGAAATCCCTCTAGGTTGTGAGAGATAGAAAAAGAAATAAAAAAGAGAATGAAACAATGAGAACGTGAAACATACGAAGAAACACCGACGGAACTGCGCAAAGACATAGTACTCTTTTGCTGATGTACGCGCTTGATACATTAACGTTTGCCACTGGAGGTAGGAAGCCGGAACCAGGAAGTGTCTAAGACGATCATGTCGACGGCATCAACACATGCTTCTGTGTGTGTGGGCCTGGGTGTGCGCACATCTGTTTGTTGTTGTACACATGTGTCTCCTGAACTGCAGTAGGAAATGCTGTGCACAGAAACGAGGTACGAAAAGAATTGCTAGGACCGTATCCCTATCTCTTTATTTTTTCGCTCACCATCTACGCTCCTTCTATCTAATACGGATTGGGTCTGACGGACCTGAAAGGTGCGAGGACTCCCAACAAAGTTAAGCTTCTACTGGCTACAACTGTCTTCGCTGGAAGTTATAGCCAGTTGCAAAAATGACATGAGCCAGTAGAATAAACATAGGCCAGGACAAGTAGGGACGTAACATGGCAGCAGCAACATGGACGAACGTTTGCTGTATACACTACCAACTGCAGAGAGTGCTATGGTTCGTTTTCTAAAAGAGTAAGATGGAAAAGAGATAGCATGGAGAGTAAAGAACGACTGGGAAATCAGGAGGAACCTAGGGGGATGACGAAATTACTAGATCTGGTAGTGGGTGCGATAGCTAGAGGAATTTAGTCATGAAGACATTGCTTTGTTGTCGTCGGCGAGACTATTCACACAGCAAGTCACTGGCATAGGCTCGGCCGTGGCAACGGTGATGTTTCACTCCGAGTAATATCAATAGGGCTGCTACTGACAAAGGACCGGGACCGGTGTGCAGGGGGAAACGCTAGGAACTGAGGCCTCATCAAACTCGAGCGACATGTTTGGCTGGCTGATCGGTTGTTAATCGATGTAGGGGACCGCGTATATCAACTGCGTGCACGTAACAAAGGATAGCTAACTGGCCCTATATATTCGCATATAGGTAGCAGACCAGTAGTGAACTGTTGGTCAACTATCGTAAAACAATGCTGCTGTTTGTTAAAGCAGAGGGACCGTGCTTAGTCGGCACAACCCACAAATTGGCGCACGATTATGTCAATGCGGGTGGACATCTGAGGGCGAAATCCTCAAGCAGGGAGCTAGTTTGTGATGGATCTGTCTGAAGAGCAATTTGAAGGATTTCTACCGGTTCAGTTCGCTGGGCTGCCGTAGCCTCGAATAGTTATGTACATAGGAGCAGAATATATGCATATTCTCTCGATAGGCTGCCCGCTGACTTGGATCTGCAAGGCTGCATGGGCCATACAATTTTGTGTGTTGGGATGTATGTTAACAAAGAGATTAATTTCTTTCTAAATGCCATTCTGCTTTTCGCTGTGGTCGTGTGTAAATCTAGTCGCAATGTACAAGATACCATACTTACGAGAACTTCAAATGTTACACAAAAATGCATCCACCGCTATTTCCTTTACACTACCTCAAAAAAGCCGTCTGTTTTAGTAGCCTGTTGTCCTTTGGGCGCTGGGTGCTATTAGTCATAAGTTACGTAAGTATAATCTTTGAGTAACCACTATTTGTCATGAGTGATCTTGGAAGAACAAGGCCGTTAGTTCTAGATTAGGTCTCAACGTGCTATATCTACGATTGCCCCTAATTTTTTTTAAAAAGAAGGGCCAACCTAGCCTGCACTAAAAATCGGGTGATTCCTGGCAATGCAACTTTCGCTACAAACATCTGGGTGCAAGGCCAATAGCCAGTAAAATGAAGTAATCACTGACAGCAAAAGAGAACATTATCAAAAGTGGTTTTCATTCAGAGTCGAAGATGCTATTCTTCGGGTGTGAGCAGATCTTAGAGGGACGTGAATCCCTTTATCTAGAGTTGCGCAGTGTCCTTCCGTTCTTTCACAAACCATGATTTTTATAAAAATTTTTTGGCTAAACTTCATACGTCGAGCGTTGTACGTTCTACGTCTTCATACATTCTATTGGACGAAATTTCTTAGGGTTGTCAAAGTATATTTGTTTACTGTTGTATATGTGTACTTATATTTCCTACTGTTACCCCTCAAGGCACAAATCGAAACTACTTATTATGCGAATAAACTGATAACAAGTTGTAGGGAAAAATAACGCTCCTGAAGTATTGACAGCGTGTACAATTTCACTACCGTACCCCACCCCTTTGTTAGAACTAATATGATATATCAGAATTATGTTCCTTGCTGGGGTATAGACTTTTTAGGGGCATAGAATACACAATGAATCAAATACAGCCACAATCGTATGGACACTTGCCGTAGAGCATCCGAAGCACACGTCAATCTAATGTAAACGAATAATGGTATTCATCTATTTTTTGTGACTGGAATGGTTTCATTGGATGCTTGGGGCTTCCTCTCATTGTAGGTTGTTTCCCTTCTATCCGCTGAGCGCATCACTCGAGTAGTATGTGGACACTATTATTTACCAATGTTCTCTTGTAAATACATGACGTTACATGATAAGGTTAAATATATTCATTGAAAGAAATTCGTAAAGGCCACTTTACTAGGCTTCGTTTTTGCAAGTAGAAAATCACCGATAAATTTTCCAACAAGCATAACTGTTTACAATTTTTAGATACGAAGATAAAATCGATAAGCCGAAAATAAAGATATGAGAATTTGTTACTTATGTGCCAATAATAAACATGCAATTATTCATTTGATGCTTTCAAGATCGGCTTTATCACTGTGTTGTTAGATAGATACAATATATTAGAGCTTGACGACATGAAAGTATACAGCTCCAATCCCAGTAGGGATCCCCGACTTTATGGCTGTTCAGCAATATTTTTGTACAACTCGTAAACAACATAAAATGGTGTAATGGATAAAAATTATTATTCGTGTACCTTTTTTGCATATAAATATAATAAAAGGTAGAAGACTAGGTTTGCTTACCTCTATATCCAAGGTTCATTTTCGCTTTCCCGTAGAATAATAAATGGACCACAAGGTCCTCTTTGATATCGTACCATCTAAGAAAAAAGACGAGATGATCGTAATTACTCGCTGAGAAAGTGAATCCAATTGGGTAGGCCAAGCTGAAAGAGGAAGAAAAAAGTAATCTTAATTACTAGAGATAGTGATCGTTGCATCGGGTAAAGTTCGAATGACGTAAAAAGAAAATGAATGATAAAGCTAAGAACAAATGGAAGTAAAACGTTTACAGACTCAGTGCGCGTAATGTTAGTAAAACGACGTTTGATTGGCCTGTCGTGGCGTGATTGCTGATGGCAGTAAGCACTTCATCTGGCAGAGGCAAAAACTGAACGCGCATGAAAATTCATAGCTCTGAAAAAAAGTTTACTATGCCCGCATCTCAAACCTATTTTTTTGTTTTCTCGTTAGCAGAGAGCTGTCGGGACCAATACCGCTAACTGCATTAAGAATCGTACAGAAATATAACTGGTAGCAGCTAACTCAAGGCCGCTCCTTTGCTGTCTGCTAATGGCGCTGTAATTCAAATGAATCAACAAGCACTAATTTGTTTACGTACATTGCTGCTGATAGCTAATCGCTCCGACACGAATTAAGAGGGTAAAGTATAACAATAAAATCATAAGGGACATAAAATGGATAGCTTATTTTATCAGCTGGGATTCCACCTGAACGACGAAGGTGGGTAAGTAAGAAATAATTGTCTATAATGGTGACCAACGGTTGTCCCAATATAACTAACTGTCCTCGCCTGGGGGTCGGAACGCTCGTAAAACTGTTACGCTTTTACGTCTCACTAAAGTCCCTCATCTACGCTAGCCTCTGACATTAGGACACAGCGCAAGCGGCTACGGAAGCAAAAGTTCCTCCTGCTGTCGGACCATCTAGGACACACGGCATCTGTAGAAAGGCGCTAGTTTCGAAACTCCGTGTACCCCAAGTGAATAAAATAGTTCAGCTAATAGTGCGTTGATTTGTTACCATAGGGGCAACAGCAGCCTTAAAGGAGTACTCAT